AATATTTATACTGGTGATTGAAAAAGAAACCACTTTCACAAGAACAAAGATATAATGCTTTAATAATTTAAATAGAACCAACTTCAAGGAACATACACACACATACATAAAATCAAACAATTTAATTGAACAGTGTATTTAAATGCATCCGATTCTTAAAAACCCCCCAAAACGGACTCAAGTTCATGGATATGAAAAGGTAATTTGGAAGTACTACAGACCAGAGTAAAATGGACAAGGTCATCACTTTGCATTTACCAATAAGACGACAGCCTGTGGATACATTAGATGTTTTATAAGAACACTTCTAGGAAATGTTAGAACAAACAAGCCGTTAAAAAGGAATACAAATGATCTCATAAAGATAAATTTATAGCTAACAATTTCTTTGGTCCTCCAAGTCACACTTGTTTTTACTGTAAAATATCAAACATGAGTTATGTGCTTAGAAATCTACCTATAAATGTCTAAATATTAAGCAGGCTAATGTTTATACTGGGTTAGATTTAAAAAGGAACTCAAAATCAACCACCACTGTAGTACTTAAATTCTGAATATAGAAAAAGCTAGGAAAAGTTTAAAAAAAAAAATCTCTGCCATGTTGCCTTATCATAAGCTAAATGGCATCACAGTGGCAGAGACAAGATTTCCAAAGTTAAAGCAAGCATCACAGTTCATTATTTTTAAGGTAATGGGATAAATTTGATTTAATAAACATGATCAAAGTAGAGCCTTATTTGGCGCTATATCAACCAAATAAGAAATAACTGAGTTTTTATGGAGTAGCTGGGGTTTTTCGTTTGTTTTAATTTGGCCCACACTGCCCCAATGGAGGAAATTTTAAGATAATCATTAATAAGGCAACAGCTTCCAGGATTAAAATACCTACACCACCTGCACAGAGTTGCGCAGAAGATAAGACCCACTCAGACCACAAGGGAAACCAAGCCCAGGGGCTCCTGTGCATTTGCACAGACACCAACAACACAGCTTTGGTTAGAACGTTGGACACAGCTCATGATGCCGTCCACCATCAGTTCATTCTGTTTCCTTTCAGGTTCATGGAAGCTATGGTTCTGCAGACCCGAAAATGATGGGGACTCTCAAAAGTTTCTGGAAATTCTTAGAAAAATACTTCATAAGAACAAAATAATGCCTCAAACAAAAATAATGTTTTGAGGCATCTACATGGAAAACACAAAGTAAAATCCCAAGAAACTTTTAAAGGTAAAACTGTGATGACTAGTTATTTGCAATGTCAGTACTCTTATAAGATAATGGCTTTTTAAAAAAGGCAAAAGTATCTAGACTCTAAATGATGTGATATTCTCATCAAGGCACAGAGAGTTAAATGTCTAAATCCCTGTATGTTGACATGAGAATATACTCGTAAACAACTCTAGAGACTAATTCCCTGTACTTGAATTAAAAAAGAATAGAAGGTAGAAATGTGCCTTTTTAACTCACAGTAAAGTCAAAAACATAGATATTTCACCACCTTCCCCTGGCGACTGATAACTGGATAGTTAAAATATAAACACATTAAAAAAACCATGTCTCTGGTGGTTTAATAAACATGATCAAAGTGGAGGCTGTTGGACTTTGAATTCACAGAGCAATACTGCACAAACACTGTACATAAATATTTTAGCACTTTCAGCACTACACCATTTTTGTTGGAGGAGGAAAACAAAAACCAGTGTATTAGCCATAGGTCTCTTCCATTTCCTATGCTCCTGTGCTTATGTATCAGATTATCACACTATTTCACCAAAACACATGAATTCTTCTCCCTTCCCAGCACCCTCGGGTTATCTGAAAGGCAGTGATTTTGTGCATATGAATTACACTCTTGGCAGTTCACTTTAATATTGCCACTAAAAGGTGGCAAGAAGAAAGTAGAGGGCTCACCCCTTTATTAATTATGTTTATTTGACTTTCTATAAATAATTTTTAAATACAATCACTGACAAGGAATAAAGTTCACATCTGTAACAACTGAAAAATGGAATGTACAAACAAGACCAGACAGACGATGCTACCAACAGTACACTCTGCAGAGCCACACCGCACACGCTGACGTTCAGCTCCGAATAAGCGTCAGAAACTCTTCTCGAGTCTTTGGGTCTTCCCGGAACACACCCAACATCGTGCTGGTCACAGTTTTGCTGTTCATTTTCTGTACACCTCGCATTACCATACACATGTGTCTACAAAAGGAGACAACAAAGGTTGCTTAAAGGAGTAGACAGCAGCTGGTTTGGTTTTTAAAATAAAAAGCAGGCCAAAAGATTAATCTCAGTTCACAGCTACCAAGTACATCAAAACATCCCCTCTTAGACAAATGTTAGCTAAAACTTTTTTCCTGAAGTTTCTTGTCTTGTAGCCTTTATTCTTATCAGTAGTTGAGTCCTTAATGCATCCAAAAAGAGGGGGGAAGAAAACAGAATTTTCTTCCTGGGTGAAAATTATATAATTTGTCTACAGAGATACATAACTTCTAGATCAAAAGAATGTCGGAATTCTCACTTGATCCACCTTCAGGAGAAAGACGGCACTATGCTAGCTTAGGTGTTCAGAGTATGCTGTTCTCACCAGGCAGAACCCAGACAGCAGTGCCCAGGGAGTCTGAGCAACCTGGTGAAGGCAGACAACATCCACAGAGCAGAGTTCATTCCGTATCACAGAATGGATGAGACTATGCCCACAGGATGGGTGCAATTCTCATAACTTATTCTAACTTTAAGAAGTGTCTTCGAAAAAAAAAAAAAAAAAGAGAAGTGTCTTCGGTTGCCCTTTGCACAAGTTTTTGGCTCTGTTTTTTAAATATGTAAAAAAATATTAGTACAACTCTGCCTGGAACAACAAAGACCTAAAGAAGAAATCAAGAAAAGACAAAAATACTACTGGTTGTGCCAATCTCTACACCACCTACGCATATGACTCCCTATATCTCCACCATCCCCACCCCCACCCCTCCAAAAAAAGCCTCTCCCATACCCTGGTTTCTTATATCAGCAACACAGTAAATGCAAGAGGCAAAAGAGCATTAGACTCAGGGATAGAAACCAGCAGTAATGTGCCAACGGTGTGGCACCATCACCTTGTGCCGAGAACCCGGAGCAGCACTAAACATCAAGACCATCTTTCGTGCACCATTCTGACATTACTGAAGGCGGATACGGACTTACGTTGCTTCGACCACTACCCCGACTCCAGCAGGTTGCAAGGCTTCTGTGATTGCTACGGCAATTTGTTTTGTAAGGCGCTCTTGAACTGCGGATGTAACAGAGAGCTCAGTTTAAGAGTCTGATACAAACAGCTGGAGGCTTTTTTTGTCTCTAGAATATTTGACATTTTAAAAAAGCAGACTTCTGTGAGATTTAAGAGCCAGGACACACTAGCTTTTGCCAGTTTGCCTTGTCAGCTGACTGGGCCACAAGGAGGTCCCTGCTCAATGCCCTCTCCCATGGTACAGGTGCTGAAGTGCTCTCAGAAACCCTGGAAGCCCCCCAGCATCACCAGGGGAAGGGATTAGAGTGGCAACTGTCTCTTACCTGTGCAGTAAGACCAACAGATTGCTGGTTCACAGGCACTTCCACGGAGGTAAAATAGAGCAAATAAATCAATCGCTTTACAGGATTAACAAAGGGGCTACAGTTCAATTATTGAATTATACGTAGAGCAATGTTGAAAACCAATGATTTGGTTTTCAACATAACATAGTTCCTGTCTGAATAAAACAAGAACGTACAAGAGTGTTCACTATAGCACTGCAAGTGTTTAAAAACTGACAAAATCCCCAAATGTCTATCAGAGCAGGGATTGGTTACATCAAGCCATGGCATATACAGTGGAACTCTAAATAGCTAACAAAATGAATGAGATAGTTACATGTATGTGGAAAAAAATGTTTAAGATTTGGTAAGTGAAAAAACTGGTGAAAAAAGAATGTGAGGCTAATTATATATGAGTCCATTTTTTAAATATAATACAAATAAATTGATTTGAAAATGGTGGTATATGCATAAAAATGTGCAAATACAGCAGTGATTTCTTTAGGAGGCTTGAAACACAGATTTTCTTTTTTATATTCGTCTGAGTTTTTTTTTTTTCACTTTTGCCAATACTTATGTGGAAAGCTACTCTGTGCAATTAAAGAAACACAGTAGTTGACTGCAATTATTATACACTGTCAATACTTTTTTTTTTTTTTTTTAAGAGATGAGGTCACATTTGCACTAAGTTGCCCAGGCCTGCGCTCAAGCAATCCTCCCACCTCTGCCTCCCAAGTCGCTGGGACTACAGG